AGATAAACATACAGATGGTTCTATCTGGACTGTAAGTGTACATTCCTGCGAATGCATGTGTACCTACAGTATGCTTGCGTGAACACAACACAAGGAACCCCATGGCCTGTACCACATGGCTCTGCAGTTACCACTCATGGCTGGCTTGTGTGGTGAGATGGCCCAACAGGCTGGCAGAGAGGGAGACCCTTTCTGTGGCTCACCCAGGCGGAGAGAGGGGCTTCCTGCACATCTTTTGTCACACCATTTGGGCTCTTGTGTCTGCGGCTGCCTTGCTCCTCCGGACCCACTTGGCAGCCGCTCTGCAGACGGACATCTGCTCTCTGCAACCTCCTGGTGAAAGGAGAAAACAACAACATGCAGACCCTGTTCCACTCTATCTATCCTCTTTAGCTTGAAAAATATAAATACCCCTAAAATTTGGTCAGATTTTCTCACATCAAAACCCCATTTTTGCATGTATCCCATTATAATTTGATATGATAGATCAGCACAAACTAGAGCATAACTGTTAAGTAGTAGGAAGGGATATTTAATTGTCAAATTCTGCTTTCAAATAAAGTCTGAGTTTTTTGCCCAAACTTTACTGGAATATCCCTAAATTAAACCCAGTAGTAAACAGAATCCGCCTCAGTGTTATTTAACATTGGTAAGTAATCTAAGCTGATTTTTTGTAGCAAATGAAGTTTGCAAGATCAGATTAAAACCATAGTATATTTTTCAGGCTACAATTAAATTTACATAATTGATATAAAACACACACTACTATCCACCACCTCCATTGTGAAGCATGGTAATGGCAGCATCATTCCAGTTTCCACGATGATCTATCTATCTATCTATCTATCTATCTATCTATCTATCTATTTATCTATCTATCTATCTATCTATCTATCTATCTATCTATCTATCTATCTATCTATTTATCTATCTATCTAAATCTAGTCTGTCTGTCAGTTAAAAATGATAACCTTTTCACCCTGCAAAAGAAAGAACAACTCAGACAGACCTTCAGACTATGCAGTTTGTTTGAAAATCCCTGCATGAGAAAAAAAAGTGGTATAGCCAGTTCTTCATCCCTTGCCCTGACTCCTTTTTTTATTATTCTTTCTCTCCTCTCTCTTTCGCTGTGGAGTGATTCTCCAGCACGCAATATTGAACAGACTTTGTTCGTGCTCAGCGGCCCAGAATAACTCGGCCATTATGGTTGCAAAGGGGACAGGTTTTGAGTTTGATTTCATGATGGTAATATAGCCTGTGCATGCGCGCAAAAAGGAGACAGCCCTTCAATGGGGACATCTGTTCAAGAGCGGCTTACAGTTACAGCCGTGCGCGTAAAAAGCCAGCAACCTGTGCGCAACAGATGAGCGGTAAAAGCGACTCCCTGTGAAATGCAACAGGCTAAACGACAAGCTTTTGTGCACGCATTTTGAACGAATAAAATTATAAACTAACATTGATGTGCGCATGGACCGAACACATCTTCCAGTGCTGTGGCTCCAACAGCAATGTTTCCTGTCAGGGGTTATCACAGTGACCCCTGACATTAGTCTTGCTTGTTAGATCGCGGGGTAATTTGTCACCAGCGGCTAACATGTGAGCTGATGCTCTCCAAATGTGCAAAACCACTAGATTGCCTGTTTAGAAACGGCTGTTCTTTTTTATATATAATAATAAGAAGAAAAATCATCAAGTAAAAATAAATTGAGCACCAGTGAGAATATTGAGTTGTTGATGCATGATTGATTAAATAAATATTAGAATATAAACTGTGTCATTTGAATTTTGTTGACATGAGGAGGAAAGATGCAGCTCAAGATCCCCCCACCGAGTTATTCCTAATTGAATTGCCAGTGTAACATTTATCTGGCACCGCTTCACGATCTCACCGGTGAGAAGGAGACGCTGGTGTTTTTTCCTCCGCCTGAAAGCCAACCTATAGGGTCAATCAATGCGCTGCAAAGGAGCGGAGGAGTGCGGTACGTATAGTTTCATTTCTAACCGTCAAATTCTTTAATTAATCACAGCTTGATTTTTATGCATTTGATTGTTTGATACAAAACAAGAAAATGCAGGTTCATACAGTTATGTTTTTACATTTTCAAATATAGTAGGCTACCCTATATAATGGACTAAATGTGTAAATAAGTTTCGCCTTTTTTGGTTAATATCTTAAATATTTAAAATAATGTGCTACTAAATAAGACGCGTTGTGGAAAATTATCAATTATCTTGCAAAAAATAGAAATAAAAATAAAGCCACTGCTTTATCTTGGAGGAGAAAAAAAAAACATTTTTATCATTCCTCCCATCTTTTTTTCCCCTCACCTCAAGGAAAGACAGGGTGAATCCTACACAGAAAGTGGTCCAGTCCTAGAAACACAGGAATTAATCAGACTGTCCATCTATCACGCCGCGCAATAAAGGAAGCGACACGGGTTAGGGCAGATGATGTGATGAATAATCCCTGGTCGTTTTAATTAACTTTTCCCTGTCCCGTAATGACCAAGCTGGTCAACAGACCCGGTCAATAAGCATGTTAATATCAAACAAATAAAACTGTGGATGATTAAAAACCTCCCGCGTTATTAAATTTGAAATTCAAATGAAATTTATGCCCCCAGCGCACACTGCATGTTAATGGCCCTAAGAGCTCGTTGCCTTCAAGTTCTTATTATGTAACAAGGGATTCTGATAGTATTGTTTTATTAAGACTCTTTTTACTAAATGTCACCAAGTGATGAACCAATTCATTTCAGCAAGATTATGTTATTTTTTAGGCACAAATTATTTTACTAATCCCCCAAAAAATGAAAAGAAAACCAACTTTGGAGTAAAAGAAAAAGAAAAAAAAATTTAAATTTTCTAAATTGATCAAGTCTAATAGCTGTAAATCTCCTAAAGTTAACCATGCTGACCTCTCATTTTCTCCATCCTCTGTTTCAGAAGAACACGGTTAATAATGAAATGAATAATCTCCCCCTACACAGAAACGCGCGCATCAGCCCGGAATGCACCGTCTATATCAGTTTTAATCAAAACTGTCAAGGTAATTGGACACAATTACAGTAAAGTGAAAGTTTGAGACGATGCAATATAAGTGCATAGCCAGAACAATGCAGCCTTTATATCCTCTGTAATAGGCTGTGTATATTAAGTCCTGAAAAGTTAAAACATGCAAATTCCCCTTATGGCAAAATACTTGTAAGATAGCCTATATAAGATGCTAAAATGAAATTACAATGAAATAGAAAATGTAAAGAAAACTCTCCACTCGCTCAAATAAAAGCAAACCAAATTGGGCCAATTTTTTATTATTTTGAAAATTTGTCTTTCTTTTTTTTTTTTTTTTTTTTTTTACTTTTCTCACAGGATCATCATAAAAATGTAAAACTATAAAAAAAAATCTTTACTTTTTTCCTACACTGATAAAACAAACTGGTTGTACATATTTACAAACATTTTATTTGGGAAGGGGTTAATTTATTTGTCTTAATAGAAATTATATGCATTTAACAGGTTAAAATAACTCATATGGATTGTCATCCTTTGTAATAAAAAAAAGAAGAAATTATTTCACATTAAGACAGACAATTTTACCAAGTCTTTTAAAAAACTCTATGTAGCCTACATCTTTTCCTGACTGCCACAAAGATGTGCTGCTATAGAGGGACTCCCCGTGTTATAAAACATTAATTTAGCCCTAACCCTAACCTTAAACTACACCTAACGCAACTAAATGTTGTCAAAATGCTTATTAATTTTTTTCAAAATCTAAGAAATCAATATATTCTCTCTTTTTCTATCAATGACAGCTTGAGATATGAATTTCAGTGGGAAGAACTAGCTCAAAGTTGAGAAACTTATTTTGTATTAGCATTAGCACCATAGCTAAACTTCGTAAAAGATTAAATTGTCTTAACTGGTTTACAAATTGTTGCTCCATAAATGCTCTCAGCCTTAAACCCTTTTAATTTGTATAACACTGACTACACTAATATAATAATTCATGGTGAAATATATAAACACAAACCCCTATAACCATTCTATCACCTCTTACGACTGACTTAAAATCTAACCTCTATATATCTTCAGTTAGATTCTAATTAAAATATAAAGGTAGAATCTGTAATAAAATGGCAAATCTTGTTAGAATGTATCCAACAATTAACAATATTTGGAGAAATTGATATATATAGTTGAAATTGCAATAATTATAATGAATGATAATTTCCTAAATTCATTATAAACAGTATCATTTCAATTATATCCCTATTAAAATTCTGTGTTCGCTAAATGATTAAAATAACAAACAAAAAAAACACACATTTCTGTGATTTTCAGAATTGTTGAAATTCAACAGCTTCTTGGCATCATCTAATAATCTGCAGGATTTTTTGACATTTATAACTACCCTAGGAAAGTCATTTTTACAGTGTAAATGTATCAGTTTGAGTTTTAGTGTGGCCTACTACTCCAAAATCATATGTGACCCCATATCATGATCATCCCTCCTCCTTTCTGAGATTTATGTTATGCGTTGTGCTCTGTAAAAAAAATAAAATAAAAATCAACGCACCCCCTCCCCAAATTCCTCCTTCCTAATTCACTCTTATTTAACTTTACCTTCCTTCCGCTGTCTTTTATTATGGAGGGGGTGGGTTGGAAGGTGGAGATCTGTCTGAGTAGGGGAGGGAGGGGGTTTCTTCTGTCGATGACCTCACGGTTAGTGTGTGGCAGTGCGGCGGGGACGGGGGCAGCTGATTGGTCGCCCGTGTCACACAGCGCCACTTCAAAGCCGGAGAGGAGCCTACAATTGAGGAAGAATGGGCGGAACGCATCATTGTATTGCACACCTCTAAAAAAAAAAAAAAAATAAATAAACTGAAGAAGAAGAAGAGGAAGAAAAAAAAGCAGGGCTCCTGATTCATAAATATAAAAAGATCCTCTGAGGAGGGCAGTGTTTTTGTGTGATGGCAACTTCACTTCTAGGGGTGAGTCGAAAAGAGAGACTCTCTTTCTGCTTTTAATTAGTTCTTGTCATTGTCCTGCCGTTTGGAGGGGGATTAAACTTTGCAGCAGAGCCAGTCCGTTGGTTTTACTGTCAGCAGCAAGTGGAAGTTTGCTTTATAGTGCTTAAAAACACGCATGTTTTCGCAGGTCTTTAGTTTGGAACTTGTCTGCATTTTGACGTTTTGCTCGATCAGGTAGGATGCGATGGGTGAAAACTTGTAGATAGTAGTCCTAAAACAACTGCTAAAACATTCTGGGCAGTTCTTTTTATCTGTAAAATGTGCCTTAAAATGTGTGTTTAACCTGTTAAAAGTTTGAAACTTTGTACCTAAATATGTTTGTGTCTGTGCGCTTCCAGGAGGAGCCGAGGTCAGGATCGACTCCTTTAGCCATGTTGGCTGCAACATGCAACAAAATAGGGAGTCCGAGCCCTTCACCTTCCACTATATCGGATAATTCCTCGTCCTTTGGGAAGGGCTTCCATCCGTGGAAGAGAGCCTCCGCCAGCAGCTGCAGCCTCGGCTCTGGCCTATCCAGCTTCGGAGTGTCCCGGAACGGATCTGGCATAGCCTCGGACTCTTTCGGCAACAACGGCTCCAACGGATCCAGTGCCTTCTCCCTCACGTCTGGGACGACGTCTGGCTCTCATTTCGGAAACGACTACTCTGTTTTTCAAGCTTCGAGCAACTCTCAAGAGTCCAGCCATCAGCCGGTCTTCATCTCCAAGGTGCATACCTCGGTGGACAGTTTGCAGGGCATCTATCCGAGGATGAGCGTTGCGCACCCGTATGAGTCCTGGTTCAAGTCCTCTCACCCTGGGATCTCCGCAGGAGAGGTCGGCACCACCGGAGCTTCTGCCTGGTGGGATGTGGGAGCAGCGGGGTGGATTGATGTTCAGAACCCGAATGGAGCAGCACTACAATCGTCCTTACATTCCGGTGGACTGCAGACCTCCTTACACTCTCCCCTTGGAGGATATAATTCTGATTACTCCACTTTGAGCCACTCTGCTTTCAGCACCAGCCCCTCTCCACACCTGTTGACGCCCGGCCAACACCTGATGGACGGTTTCAAGCCGGTTTTACCCTCTTATCCGGACACAAGCCCTTCGCCACTAACGGGAGCAGGAGGGACTATGCTCACCGGAGGTCCCCCGGCAACTTTAGCGGGCTCTCCGAGGTCATCCGCTCGAAGGTATTCAGGAAGGGCCACCTGCGACTGTCCGAACTGCCAAGAGGCGGAGAGACTGGGACCGGCGGGCGCCAGTTTGCGCAGGAAAGGCCTGCACAGCTGCCACATACCTGGCTGCGGGAAGGTGTACGGCAAAACGTCGCACCTGAAGGCGCACCTGCGGTGGCACACCGGGGAGAGGCCGTTCGTGTGCAACTGGCTGTTCTGCGGCAAGAGGTTTACGCGCTCCGACGAGCTCCAGCGGCACTTGCGCACACACACTGGCGAGAAACGCTTCGCCTGTCCGGTGTGCAACAAGAGGTTCATGCGCAGCGACCACCTGAGCAAGCACGTAAAAACTCACAGCGCAGGGGGCTCCGCCGGCTCTGGCTCTGGGGGCAGCGGGGGGAAAAGGGGGAGCGACACCGATAGTGAGCACAGCGCGCCGGGGAGCCCTCCATGCCATTCCCCCGACTTGTTGCACCCACCTGAGCCCACCCAGGGAGTGGGCATGAACGGCCTCTGAAAAACCTAGTTTAAAAAAAAAAAAAGGAGAAGGAGAGAAAATATTCAAACGAGTGGACATACTTTAATGTATGCTGTATCCTGCTGTTGTCAAATAAGTGTTTAAATCTGCATTTCCACAATGTTCTAGCTGTGCCATCACAAACTTCGAATTAGAGACTGCAGGTGTGAAAGTGAAAACAACCTGTTTTATATCTCAGCATACTGTAAGAATATAGGGGCCTCTGAAGCTGCGCTCCCTCTATCAAAACCTGTTCTAAAAAAAAAAAAAAAACACTGGCACTTTAATATCGAGCAAAAAGAGTTATCTTTTTTCTCTACTGCTTCGTAATAACGAAATTATTTGGCTCTGGTGTTGCATAGTAAAAAAAAAAAAAAAAAGGTTATTTTCTCTGTTTAACATGTTCAGTCCACAGCGCTCTAGGCCAGTAAAATGTAACTTTCACTTTACTCTGCAGCAGAAATGTTCTGTATAAAAATGTAGGTTAGAATAATTACAGCCCAAATGTAAAGGTGAGCAATGTTATTTGTCCAGGAGACGATTTTTTTGTATAGGTATTTCTAGTTGTATATGGACTCTAGTAAATATTTGAGAAAAAAAATATACGGACATGTACTTTGATCTTTTTTGACCTGGTATGAAATGTATTTGTTGGGGTGGGGTGGGGGATATATTTAACCACACATTTTTTTTTCTTTGTCTTTTGTTTTGTTTGTATTTAGAGGGTCTTTCATTAGGCGCACTTTGAATTCGATTGTATGGTTTGAAAATCATAATTTGCTGTTTACCCGCTCGTTTAATTTAAGTAAGCATGTTGTAAAGTGATTTTTTTTTATTATTTTACTTCCCCTCTTTTTCTCTCGCTCTCTTTCTCTCGCTGAGAATGGCTTTTTATGTGAGCCACTCAATAAAGTCAGTATGAAATCAAAATCAGCTTTATCGACTCAGTTTTTTTAAAATATTGTTGAGTCGATAAAATCAGTTTCCGGTGAAAAAAGACTCCAAAATTAGCATATAATCATTTTAAAATTGCAAACAAATTGTTTTTTTTTTTCGTGATTTTGAAACATTGTATTAATTAAGATTTATATGGCGTTCAACTGGTTTTTGCAGGAGGGTAACTTCCACGTCAAATCAGAAAAAGATCTTAAGGGAAAACTGGAATTTTGCTTTCATTAAGATTATACATTGTAATTAAACTGGATGTTATTGGTTTTAATCAGTTAATTTGCTCAATATAAAAACTTAAAACTTGTAGCTAGTTATCCTATGCGTTTATCCAATAATTATTCGCAGCATCATGGCTAAAGTTTTCTATTTGTTTAATTACTGTTATTTCCTGTTATTACGATTTTTTTTATATATATTACAGTTTTCCTTTTCTTTTTTTTTTTTTTTATTTGTGCTCAACAGATTTCTAAGGTCTTAGTTAATTGCATTCAGTTGTCAGACACCAGAGGCTTTTAGTGTTTAAAAGCAAAAAAGCTACTGAAATCTGTTAAAATATCTATATCTAAAAAATATATATATAGTCTTTTAAATTGATACTTTTAATCTAATTTCCCCAAAGGCTGTTACAAACAGTGAAGAGACACATAAAACACTATTCAACTAGTGAAATTATCATCTTTTTAGAGTGAAAAAAAGTGTTAATGTGCAAAATGCATATAACCAATTTGAATTATTTCTACCTTGTTCAGTTTTCATCATATTTTTTGGTTAAATGCTTTAGTATTTATTTACTCTGATATGTAGTTTTAATGATAACTTCTAAATTTTAACTTTTTTAAAATTTCATCAAATCAACACTGCATATCCTCATAAGGCGTAAAAAATTCCCTCCTTAAAATGTACAAAGTGAACAAAAAACAACAACAGGGCCTTTAGCTATATTTTATTTCTTTGTTTAAGTTAGTTTGCTTTACTTTTTAGCTTTGGATTAAACAGTGAGGTAGATTCAGTATCTTTCCATGAAGACATTTGCAGCACCACCTAGTGTTGTCATTTTATAACCTACTGTTGATCTTCCAAGGCTGAGAATTGGTTAAATGTTTCCCCAAAAGATTCCTGGAAAGGCTTGTTGTTTCCTGATCTGTCAACCAGTCCATCTTGTAGTGATCAATGTGTGAATCACACACAAAAAAACTTTTTTTTAAAGTTATTAATGAAAAACAAAGTGATAAATCAGTAAGATTTTATCTCAAATTTATCACAGAATGTAACAGCTTTGATTTGAATGTTTTTTTTTTTTTGCTTTTTTAAATTTTTTTTCTTTACCAAAGTGAGCCCCATGTTCCAACAGCTGGGTGTATCATTGGTTGGCTGTTTTTGAAACATACAGCCAATAATTTCCATCTTCTACATAAAATATGGTTAATATCCAACATAAAGAAACAGTCATAATGATTTTGTGAAACCCTTTATTTCTTTATTATCAGGCATTATTCCTCAGTGTAGATGATGGTGTTTTAACTGCATAAAACTGCAAATATCGAAATGCCATTCTGAGTCAGCACCTTAACCTTTCACTTAATAAAGGAAATTCTGCCGTATTGCTTCCTATTGATTGACAGTTTGTAACAAACCGTCATCAATCGACTAACTTATTGTGCTGCAACATCAGTCTTTTACATTTTAAATACTCTCATCAAACTGTGTCGGTCTGGTGCTGTTAAATTATACCTGAATGGAAAATTTTAATTTGTCAAACACAAAAAAAAATTAATTGGACTGGTTAAAAAATATATACATGCATTTGCCTCTACCTTTTAAAAAAAAAAGATACAAATTTTGGAAATTGAGAAAGGTGTATTAAAAACTTACAGAAAGTCGGATCTGATTAGCGAGGTCAGTGTTAGAGAGGATTCTTAAATGCTATTTGTAACCTTAAGAAAACATCTTTAAAACAAAACAGTCTGACTATAAAGATATTACTTCAATCTCTCAAAGGCCTTAAAAACCATTTCCACCAGTTTTACATTATGATGCAAAAGTAAAAAAGTAAAAGAAAGTTATTTGTAACTTAAGGCACAATATATAAATTTAACTTCAATCTGTATTCCGAACAGTCAGGCAAAATATTTAAACTTTTTCAAGGTTTTTGTGATATAAGAAAAGAGATAAACTAATATCAAACCTTATTTTTGACTATCACTTAAATACATTTTATTAAATTCCATTTACCAACTTACTGTACAAAGGCTGTCCTTTAAAAGTATAGGTAAATACTTAATCTGTAATTAAAATGTGCTTAGAAGAATCTTATCGAAAGCTATTTTGTAATTTCAATCAAATAAAGAGACAAAACCAAACTAACGCAAGATAATCAGATTTAATCAAAATATTTATCTATCCCTCAGCTTGTGTTTGCTAGCATTTGTTGTTTTATTTTCACCTTTCCAGAAGGTTGTGGTGGAAGTTTATCCACAGAGGAATGTCCAACCGTGGGCCTTATGTAAATCAAGATGGTCTTAGGAAGGGCTTTCATGCCAGAAAACTAAAAAGGAAGGAAAACAGCCAAGTGGGGATGTGGAAGCCTCAGAAAGTACCTCATTTGATTCAATCTCCTGGTAAACCGGATGAAAAACCTCAGCGCTACCTCAGTAAGTTGAGGTGCATTTTTTCAATCCATTAGGTGTTTTTTTTTAGCACACCTCTCATTGATGATCCATCCGGGGACATTTTTGCCAACGACGCAGTCATGAAGCCAGCCAGTCTCCTGGGAAAGGCATTTGGAAACATTCCAGAGGTTAGTCCAAATAATTAACTGAAAAAATGGCAAGACTGCCAAGATGTGTGTGTACAAGACATTATATAGTTTACAATGAAATGACATGAGTGCAATAACAAAGCAAAATGCTTCTAACATGGATTTAATTAGATTATTTCATGACTTGATAAAACAAATGTCAGATTACTTCAGTACAAAGAAATGTATAAAGAAATGCATTCAACCAGAAAAACATTTTTTCTGTATGATGTTAAATAACACAAACAAATCAATAAAGTAACCCACACAATAAAATTGTTTTATAGTTGTTCATTAGTTACTGGGGTGAAAATGGTACTGAAAAGAAACACCTAAACTACAGTGCAAAGGTTTGTGGGTGTTTTTATTTTTATTTTTTAAGACCAACCAGACCAGACCTTTTAACATGAGCAGGTAAGTTAACAAAACATTCAAACACAGTTGTGCTTGAAAGTTTATGTATCCTTGCATTAAAGAAAATGAAAAATCCACGAGAGTAATTCAAATAACACAAAACTGAAAAAGTAATAGCACATCAAAAAATGAACCAAATGACAATTTTGTAGGACACAATAATGATTTTTTAATTTTATTTTTTTTAAGTAATAAAAAAAAAAAAAAAACACCAGTCCATACAGTAGGTGAAAAAGTCTTACTGATTGTTTTCTCAAAAGTACAGAAAACACCTGATTGTGATAATTGCCTCAAACAAGTTGCTCAAGAAAGTTTAAGTTCAGGAGCTCCAACAGGCTTGTTTACTTCTTTTATTTATATTTTTATTATATGCATATATTAAAAATCAATGTCATGACTTTAATTTTTTTTTAATGATTTTTATTAATTATTACTTTTGTCAATAACAATTTATTTTACTGGCAGCTGATTGTTTTAATGGAAACTATCAAGCACAAGTATAATTCAGTAGTGAACATTGGTGCACACCATACTTTGGCTTTGGCATCAGTTTACAATATTGTGTTCATTTAAAACAAATTGGTTATATCAATACATCACAATCAATTCCCCTAAAATAACTTAATCAACTCAAACTCAGTAGTGAAGCAACAGGCACAGGTTAAAACTGTGACCTGTGGTTTACTAAACTTGCTTCCTTCCTATGTGAGATGTCCATGGCTGGACCTGTAGACTGACTCCTGTGTTGTGTGAGTGTATTGAATCCCCTGAGGTATTGTTACACTGACTTATTTAGGTATACATATTATCATATTAACTTTAGTGGATAGTAGTAAGGAGACTGTGCCTATGTGCCAGGGGTATAATACATACAGAATGAACCAGGAGCACGTTTTGCGTGATCAGAGGAATAGATCTTGCTGGGAAAATTAATTTAGCTCATTTTGCATTAATTTTGATTACTTCGTGAACATCTTCTTGACATGAACTCAACCCTTTCTTGCAGTTAAATTTAACTTTTTGACCTCATGCCTCATTTCCAATTTTAAGATACTTGCTGTCACAATTAAACTAGTTGATTCATTCAGTTTTAATCGAGTGAAGCAATAAAGTTGAATCTACATAGGTCCAAAAGATGCAAGTTGTTTTTGACCTTAGTCATCATATCTAGACAACATAGTCACGATCGCATTAAAAAAAGCATTAAAATAACTTAAGATAGATATATCATAACAAATGCTAGATTTTCTTTCTTCAGTGCCCCCTCAATTCATCTCCCCCCAACATATATCAAATGAAAGCTCAAGAATTGATATTCAAGAAGCAGTGGAGCTCTTTTTGATAGCTAAATATTTGAATTTTATAACTTCTGATTTATAAAAAAACAAAAAAACAAGCATTGTTTTCTCAAGCTTTATGGCTATACACAAATATTTGTAGTCACAAGTATATACCTTCTTAAAAGATTTAGGGTTGAGTTTGCAAAGATCACACATTTTCAGAGGATGAACAGAGAAATGGCGCCATCTAGTGGCAATTATACGTAACTAACATTATTTAGTTCCTTTGGTTTCTGGGTTTTACAAAATCCGAGATTAAAATAATGCACACCTGTTTTAAAATGTAAAAAGAATAAACAAATTTACATTTGTAGTAAAAAAATAAAAATAAACACCCATCCGTTGTATAGCTCTTATAACGGAGTCACATCAGTTAAACTAAAAACCTCGAGTAAAGTGCTGCAATTTGCATGAATCAAACTGAATAACATTTTTAGAACTTAAACAGAACCAAGGAGGATTAAAGGTATTGGGACAGTATGACACAAGCATGATGGGAAAAAAAACGGATATATAATTACAATAACAAATACTCTATGGACTGAAAGTCAACACAGAAGGAGTCAATGACCGCTATTGCTTGTGTCTGTGAGGGGGCATATGGGAACTGCACTTGTTAAAAATATATATTTTTTTATACTCAAAACAAAGCATTTTATTATAATTTAGCAGCATCTGATCATTGTTCAATAAATTGCCATCAACATTACAAAAAAGACGAGTTAATAGAGAGCATATAAACAGGAATATACCTGAAATAAAATGCTATTTAAAATGAAAGGATAAAAGTATGAACAGAGTAAAACTAACACAATTATGTTTTTTCTCCTTATTATTTTTTCATTTGATTTGTTTAGCATCCAGATTTTTGAATGTCTCTTATCTGGATGTGGGATATCCTGAGGGTAAGTTTTGAATTAGCAATAAAATAGAACTGTCATCTGCCAAAATGTTGATCCATTGCTGAAATAAATCATGTCAGAAGAGGAGATAAGTTCTAAGAGCACTGCGGTGCTTTGGTGATAAGAATCAGATCTTCTCTGCTCGGTTTAATCTGCAAAGACATATTCACAAATAACTGCCTATTTTTACTAATTTTCAAGCATGAGCACCATTGGCATGAGGGTGGTCTGCAGTATATGCTGGAAATGCAACCCCCACGGAATCAATACCCTTTAGTGGAAGTCAAGCTTTGGACTTTCTCTGCAGAAGATTAATGCAAATTTAAAAAAAACAAACTTAAACATGAAACCCTCTCAGAAATGCTTGGAGTACACTTTGCTATGATAGAAAAGTGTATTTTATTTAGTTAGAATTATTCTTAAAAAATACAACAAATAAATTAGTTAATTAATTAATAATAATTATTATTTTTTAAAAGGTCTACTACTTCTTTACTCCTCCACACGGGGGCAGTGTTGCTTCATATTGGAGGACCACAGATTACCAAAGGTTAGATGTTGTTTAAATGTATGTTTCAGACTGCAGCGAAACAGGAGCCCACAGCATAAACACAGGCTGTTTATTATTGCAAATTAAATTCTAAATAATAATAAGAAGAACAATTATTTAAAAAAAGGCTCTTCCACAGCTTTCCACTGACAGATCCTGCAAATATGTAATGCTGCACTCCTTCAGAACTGCCTGCGAATAAAAGAAAATAAAAGACAAATATTTAAGTGTTGGTTTATTCTTATTATTATCATTCCTAAAAGACCTACCTCAGTTTACAATCAGTACTGTCTTGATCACAAATCAGATGCTAACATTGAATTAATTTCAGTATTTAAAATGTTTCTAGATGTGGTAAAAAGAAGTAATGTATTGAGATTTTAAAAATACAATCCAGAGAACTGCAACTTAATACAGAGTCCAAACAGGAAGTAAGAGCTACTGTTTCCATCCCACATATCTTTTTTTTTTTTGACAGTACCCAAATATTTTTTGCTGTAAAAAACATAAACTAACAAAGTCAGTATAAGTCACACCTCCGTTACATTCTTATCACTTGTCCCTCCTCTCGAAACTCAACCTGCGGTTTCAGGTGTTCAGGTTCGTAAACACAGTGTTGCATTCTGGGAAATGTAGTAGAAATTCTCGCAAAGCCACTCCTCTGCGTGTGTTCCTGTAATTATTAAAACTTCCAAGCCCAACATGCTCTCTGCGCTGGAGAGCAAACAGAGTTTAGGAGGGGTTCATGTTCTTCTCTGAAACGCGCTGGAAATCAGGGTTAATAAGTGGAAAAGGCCTCTTTATCCGAAAAAACATTTAGTTTTGACGGTAAGCTCAACCTTTGTGTTTTATTCAAAGTTAAAATGATTTTCGTCTCGATTTGAATAGGAAGTATGGGTTGACATGCGTTATTAATATGTAACTACTTCTTGTTTTAAAGCTCTGCCTATTAACTATAAAATGTGTTGGCTGTTGTTATCCAAACTGGTATGTACAGTAACCTGATTACTTTTTCCCTATCATATGTTTCTTTAGTTTGTTGATATAATATAAGAATGGGTACAAAAATATTCTGATCCTTATTTTCATTATAAGATCTATATATTACTTTATCATATTTCCAGAATGAACGTCATTCTGGTAATTTTTTCCTCAGATACAGCCTCTGTTCCCCAGAATGGTGTAATCGCAACACTGTGAAGCGTATGAGAAGTGACCTCAGTGTTCTCTGTTCAACAAGACCAACCTGTTTTTGTGCACTCGTGTAAAAAAAACAAATTATTAATGACTGACTCAATATGGCTAGTCTTCAATAGGTTGTGTCATTGTAGGCAAGCCAGCGACACGTAGACAGACAGAAATATTGCAAGAACTCTTGATGGACACATTTCTGAGACTTGAACAATAGCTTTAGTTGGAAGAGTGATAATGCCATTGTCAGTTGTTGCAACATTGTAAAATTGTAAAAGCAAAGACATGGAACTGTTCAATCTAGAAAAAATGTGTTATCGCTTGATACAACAAAACAAGTCAGACAAGACATACTGCTCAGTGGAGCAGTGGAGTGGCACTGCTGCCTTGCAGCAAGGTTGAGGGTTTGATTCCCAGCCTGGGGTCTTTCTGCATGGAGTTTGCATGTTCTCCCTGAGCATGTGTAGGATTTCTCCGAGTACTCCGGCTTCCTCCCACAGTCCAAAAACATGACTGTTAGGTTAATTGAGCTCTCTAAATTCTCCTTAGATGTCAGTGTGTGCGTGAATGGTTGTTTGTCCTGTTTATCTCTGTGTTACCCTGCGATGGACTGGTGACCTGTCCAGTGTGTACCCCGCCTCTCACCCATAGACAGCTGGAGATGGATACCAGCCCCCACTTGGGATTAAGCATGTCAGAAAATGGATGGATGGAAGTCAGACAAGAATTGAAATGTCGGATGACTGTAAGAGTTAAAAAAAGAGTTAAAAGTTAAAAAAGAATATCACTGTTCATTAATGTTCTCAAATAGTTTGCAAATATTTTATTCCACCACTTGATTATTTTCTAGACATGCATTCACCTTTTAAAATATTATTTGTCAAAAGTGTATTATTATTATTAGTGGTATTTATTTATTTATTTGTTTATCCATTGTCAGAATACATATAAGCTGGAATGCAAGGGAAGGAAAATGGATGCAGTGAAATACAGCACCAGACTGTAAAATATCAGAGCAAATTTTTAGTAATTTTAACTAACTTTCACTCTTTAAGTCCAATATATGTCAAGTCTTTGATTTTGAACTGAAAAGTCAAGGTTTTTGTTAATAATAAATAAAATCACAGATTGATGTCTTGTCAATTATTAGATTTTTTTTCTTCCAAGAATTAAGTAAACCAGCCATAACCGAGTTTTTGCCTCTGCAACCTCCAGGGTAAGAGCATGTTTGGCCTCATGGTTACTGTTAGCTCTCTCAGGAGCCCCACAAGCCAACCACACTAAACTGGACCTATTCTCAAACTTGATGGCATCCCTTACTGCTGGTTTCCTTAACAGGTTCAGATATTTCCATCTCGACAAGAACCACAGACCTTACAGCCACAGATGTAAGCTGTGTTAATAATAGAGGCAAAGAGAATAGTCCACTCAGACTAAATGTCCTCAGCCTCCCCTGGAATACAAGAAGGTCTTTCCAAGAGGTTGAAGTTGAATACTTCGCTGACATAGGGTTGCCAGATATTCATATGGGCCTGCTATGTCAGTCCAGCTTTCTCCTCTTTGAATAGATAAAACTCAACACAATGAGGTTTAGCCTTGATGTCTTGGTCTTAAGGCTTTTGATCCACTCTTAGTCTTAATCATCACCCACAGCTTGTTATCATCTGGAGACCCTACCAGATGCATTTAAGCCCCTGTCAGAATAGCCTCTGGGATTGTCTGAGGATAGAAACTCCACCAAATTAAGGTGGCAGTTCAAGTTGTAATTGACTTTATTATTAGAAAGATAAAACAAATATTAAATGTTTCCTACGAGTACCTCATGATGGATTAGAACTTAACAAAACTGAGGGACCAAGATAACATCTAATAAAAAGCTGTCAAGACAATTTTCTTAGGCCTGATGTAATGATCTCAGAATGTAGGACCCAATATTCAGGCAAGACAGACAATAGGAAACTTAAAAGCGTTTGTTTTTATACAGAATGCTGCGCGGCTCATCAGCTGCGACGGGCTCACTGGATTTTCTGGCAAAGATAGAAGCTCAGGTTAGTGACTTAGAATCTAAGACGGGCCAAAGCTATGAGCATAAGTCGCTAACTTGGTTCTGAGTCCAGTTCAATCCCGAGGGAAGGAGTAGAATCCAAACAGGTGGTTTCTCCACAGCTCGCGGCGGGAGCCACCCCCAAAGCTTCGAGTTAATGAGCAGAGCAGACTAATGAGCAGGCGCCAGCCAATGCCAAGCAGCAGCAGTCCCCATGAGGGGAAATCCAAAGCTGGAGTTGGAAGACAGATCCAAGTTGGAAAAGATGGCAGAATCCAGAAATAAGTACAGAACAGATCTGTCTCACAGAGCAAATACAGGGGCAAAGCAAAACTCGAAAGTCCCAAAAGCAGAAAAATTATCTACAATCATTAGACTTACTCTCAAAAACAGCTAGAATAATCTGGTGCCGATGGCAGGCAAAGAAGCAGCATAAATAGCAGCAAGAATCAGGTGGATCAGATAAAACGGTAATGAACAACCGGGTAAATAGACCGTTGCATGGAATAAACAAAGAAGCCAGCCATCAGCGACAAAACTATGACACCTGAAGACTTTTTTTTTACGTCTTTTTTCACATAGGAACAAAATTCTTGCAAGAGTCATTTTTTCTAATAAATAACAATGTCGTTGATCTCTTTACAGATGACAACATGGCAGCTGGAAGGAATATGTCCTTTCGCCGCGTTGGAAGTCTCATGAGGAGTAAATCTGAGGGGACACTAATCGATCTAAGTGATGATACAACACCCACTGACAACTTGAATGGTAAATTTCTAAACCACAAACACTGAAAAATGTGTCTCTATCCTTTAAAAAGACCTTCTGACAAAGTTCTCATTTCCTAAAGGTGGCTTTGTACCAGGAAGAACACAGACTTCAAATTGGCCGTTTTTACAGCCAGAAATCTCTGAATCCTCTCAAACCAAAAACCCTTTTTGGAAAAATATATCAGGATCCAACCCATTCTTGGATGATATTGTTCACAGTGGCAAAGATAAAGATAATTTGAATGGGTCAAAAGTAAAACAAGGAGGAAAAACACAACAAGAAGTTAATGATGATGAAGAAATATCTGAGACCTTTTGGAAAAACAGACACAAAATCAGCAACCAGTCTGGGAGATGGAGGAGCGCCTCAGATATCCTCGGTGATCTGGAGAAAAAGGGGCCAAAGCTTAAGAACAACTCAACACCACCTGGACATGTGCTCAATCCAGACTTTGAGTGGTTGAAGAATGACAGACAGGCCTATAAAATGGCCTGGTTGAGTCACCGGCAGCTGACCCGCTCCTGTCTGGACTTAAATGTGATGAGCCAGAGCCCTGGGTGGGCCCAGACTCAGGCCACCAATTTTCAAGTCGTTAGCAAGATAGGCCACAGGGGAGGCTTAGTACAGCTACCTGAATCCAAAATTAGCATTCATGTTCCAGAAGGCCATGTTCTCCCCGGAGAAATACAGGAAGTTACCCTCAAAGCTATGCTAAACCCTCCACCTGGACTTAACAATAACTACATGACAACAATGAGTCCACTTCTCGAGGTGTTGTTGAGTAACATTAACACGAAGGAATGCTTATCCATGAAGATGAAGCTCTCAGGAGAAATAAAGGACAACCCTGAAAGTCAGGCGATGACCACTGTATTTGGAATGGTGTCCCCCAAACGAGAGGGGCCATACTCAAAAATTAAAGATTCTCACGTTAACAAGAACTCGATCCAGATAAAACTCCAGGACCCAAAAACACATTTTTTTGTAATAGCAGTGGCCGAGGCCTCTTCACTGCAGCCACACACTACAGTGTGGGATCACCTCGATCGGCAACTCACCATTGCCGTTTATGGCCCAAGGTTCATTCATCCATCATTCAAGGTTGTAGTAGTAGTCTGCTGTCACGAAGATGTTCCACCTAAGCTTCCATTCTCAGATCTCTGTAAGGGCAGTAAAAATCTGCCTCCACTTGTGCTGCAGCTTTGGGGGAAGCACTCCTTCAAACCACAAGAGTTGAAGGACTTTATTGTGGGGGTGCATGTCATAGCCTCAAAATTTCAAATTAGTCCTGAAGACCAAATGAAACCAGTGAGGCAAAGTCAGCTCAAGATTGGGACAGTTTTGCATCTACCAGTTGCAATATCTTGCCCTGAAACAGCAGAGATAACTCCTTTTCAGTTAGACATACAAGTGAAGGAATCAAGCTCATCTACAGTTGTGGCTGATTTTCAGATAACTTCCCCTCCTGTACCACCTATCCGATCAGACAAGAGGCAACCAACAAATGTAGAGAGAAAGATAGAAATCGCAAAAACATTTCCTATTCCAGAAGAAACTGAACCAGATTTACCCAAATTTAAAGACGTGCCAGTGAATCTGCAGTGGTACGGGGTAGCCTTAAAGACAGTTTACCGTCAGCCTCATGTAGAATACCTCCTGGAGTACATAAAGGGCGATACTGTGGCTCTGCTTTCTAGGGAGACGGTCAGGTCAATTGGCAATTTCAAGGTGAAAGAGTGGTACATTGGGTTCATCAGAGGCAAGATCGGCTTGGTCCACTGCAAAAACATCAAACTCATAACTGTGGATCAAGTTATAGACTTCAATGAGGTTCAAATCACCACAGCAGTACTTTTAAAAAATATGGCACAGCCCTTCAGGAAGCTTACGTATATGTATTCTGCCATCCAGACATTAGTCACAGAGCACATAACTTGTTGGAGGGGTTTTGCAGATGCTTTGCAGTACAAAAATGAGCCTCTGGAAACAATTAGGCGAAGATATGCTGAAACTGAGACTGACAAGGTGGCTTGCGTCCTGGAGAAGTTAAAGGAGGACTGCCACTCAGAGAAGACTAGGAAAAAGTTCCTGCATGAACTAATGGTGGTATGTAAATTAAAAAGGCTTTTAATGTAATGCAATAAACTCATGTCTTTTGTTAAGTGCTAAAGAATGCTTCCTCTACATTTGTGACAAAAACAACTGTATTTTTGTCATCGTCAAGGGGCTACTGAAGGTGAACAACATGAATCTGGTGGCGAAGCTCGTTCAGAACACAGTTATTCTGTCTACAGCTGTGGAGCTGGAAATCCGATGGCGAGAGCTTGCAGAGAAGATGGGAAAACTGACCAGTGCACAGATAGCGGCTTATGAAGCACCTCATCGAGGAAAAAATGGTCAAGTCAGTGTGCAGGTCAGATTAAGCTGTAATGTGAATGACGGTTTCTCGTTTCTGAATATAACTCCCATATGTGCATCTCATTGAATTAGAATGTGAATAAGTTAACTCTTTAACACATTAACTCAGAATGTGGCACTCATGAATAAATAAAAACAAGAATTTTGACTTACCAAACAGAAATATTGTTACTTAGGTACATTTTAAACTTATTGTGGAGGATTTTTTAAAAGACCCGCCCTCTCCAGTTAAAAAAAATGCACGTGCAAGAGCATGCAGAAGCCCATTTCTCCTCGTGCACACCCTGTTTAAAATGTGCTGTTCTCATAGCTCAAGCTTACTGTGTCCACTACAGCAGGGACTACATAGTGGACTTATAGCAAACTCAGTTACCTGTTTCAGGCAGATAATCACTGCTTTTTGCCCCGTTAGTCACGTAACCCTTCCTCTACGACGTGGTGCATGCGTCATCTTATGTTGCCTATGTTGCTAGCAGGCCGCTGTGACAGCAACCCCCTACTGATTTGCAAGGAGAGCTGAGTTTGCAAGAAGAGCAGATATCACAGAAATAAGATGTATCCCACAATGCAAAGCATTGTGGGATATATATATATATATATATATATATATATATATATATATATATATATATATATATATATATATATATATATATATATATATATATATATATATATATATATATATATATATATATATATATATATATATATGTGTGTGTGCTTCTTCTGATGCCGTTCTTATCTTCTTTTTCCTATTTTCAAAGAACCGCGGTGAGAAAGGTGATCTTCAATGACTGTGTAAAACTGTAGCTCACCACACATATGTGGCTGAAAGTGCGGTATCCCGGAAATAAAAGACCTTTTCTATACCTTTAGAAACCTTACCCTACCCTTGGCTGAAATAACTTTGGTTAAATCCTTCTTTATGTCATCTTTGAGTCCCATATGATGCTCCGAGCAAAGTTTCCGCAGCTCCTTCATGTGGTATTCTGTGACCTGTTTTATTTTCAGACCTCTTGCATCCCAACCTATTTTAACTAATTTTTCAACCCATTCTTGAAGCGCCAAGTTGTTAATTCCTAATCAGTACTTGTTGGATTTAATGGTATTTGTCTGGTTTTAGGGTCTAGTTCTTCCTCAGATAATTTGTTTGGCATATGTTCTTAGGTATTCTTCAAACATGCTTGCATACTCTGTTTCCAAAGCATCTCAGTAAGGGCTTGTTTGTGCCAAAGTTTTCTGGAGTTTCACACATGTGGTTTTTCTCATTGTGAATGTATTTGGATTGCTCTACCTAGACAGGCTAATGGCTGTTTTTAGTGTCCTACACAGTAGATTATTTTCTTTACAGTGGGTTGGCTGTTTTCAAACTGTTTAAAGTCCTTGCTGGACTCAAAACCTGCTATAATTATCTTCTTTCTGGGAGCTTTAAGTTTTCTATTTAACTAATGTGTTTACCTTCACTTCCATAGTCAGGATCACTCTACACAAGATGACAGAGGTTTAAACAGGGCAAATAAAAATCCCTGTAAATGCAATGTTATTATAATCGGATATGTGTAATTCTATCTGTTTAAAATAAGAAGTAAGAGCTGTCTTTATTCATTCTTTCCCAGAGAATACTCATTTTAAAATTAAACAAAGTGAATTAGGATTTTTTTATTTTCTTTTTTATATTTTTTTGTATTACTAAATCTTATATTACTTAATGTGAAACTGAATATCACAATTCCAGCAGATTAACACATGATGTAATTTTTAATGTGAGCTGGTTGTACCACTTTTTCTTGGAGGAAGTTATAATAATAATTAACAGAGTTAGATTTTAGAAGTATACCACTCTATGTGTTATGAATGCATATATGATTGGCTTTATTTTTTGAGCTGGTGACAGAAGTTTATTTTTTGATACCAGTGTTATTGAATTAGAGTGACTTGTCCATGTTAAGCAGTTTTTTATTGACTGATTCTTGCATTTTGATAGACATTTCCATTGATACAAAACCTTTTCATTATAATTTTTAACTTTGAATTTGTGTTCTTTTACAGTCCATGTGGAAGCCTGCCTATGACTTCCTGTATGCCTGGAGTCTTCGTTATGGAGACAACTCAAAGGATATGATCCAGGAGCTGCACCTGGTCCTGGATAAAATGAAAAACCCTGTTACCAGAGAGTGGAGACATCTGACAGGCATTCTTATCACTGTGAACTGCTTAGAAGTCTTTCAAGAAACAGCTTTTCCAGGACCTTAAATGGAAAAACAACCTTTCTCTACCTGTGAAAGCACTAAATATGTTACTTATTGACATCTTTGCTTAAGAGACTATTCAGTTGAAAAATCTCTGTAAAACTGATATTGTAAATCCAGATGGGTGATTATTTAAAAGTGTTGAAATGTGACTATGCAACTGTCAAATACGTGAAAGGAAAATTATTTTCAGTTTCTGTTCATAATGTCAATAATTCTTAACTAATTTTCTCAATATTGATTTTTTTTCAGCTGGTGTAGGACCCTGTATCCTAATTTTTATTTACAGTCTTCAGTATTCCTTGTCTTTTTATATTGCATATTACTTTATGCAGATTTTCAGTAATTGAATAGCATTTATAGTAACCTTTATCTTTTTAATATCTTGGGGTATATTTACATTATGGATCAAATTGGTGGTGTTATACTTTGATTTTAAAAAATATGCATATTTAGCATTTATATCACATTTAAACGCGTTTTTTAAATACTTTGTATACACTATATTGCCAAAAGTATTTGCTCACCCATCCAAATTATTGGAATCAGGTGTTCCAATCACTTCCATGGCCACAGGTGTATAAATTCAAGCACCTAGGCATGCAGACTGTTTTTACAAACATTTGTGAAAGAATGGGTCGCTCTCAGGAGCTCAGTGAATTCCAGCGTGGAACTGTGATAGGATGCCACCTGTGCAACAAATCCAGTCGTGAAATTTCCTCGCTCCTAAATATTCCACAGTCAACTGTCAGCTGTATTATAAGAAAATGGAAGTGTTTGGGAACGACAGCAACTCAGCCACGAAGTGGTAGGCCACGTAAACTGACGGAGCGGGGTCAGCGGATGCTGACGCGCATAGTGCGAAGAGGTCGCCAACTTTCTGCAGAGTCAATCACTACAGACCTCCAAACTTCATGTGGCCTTCAGATTAGCTCAAGAACAGTGCGCAGAGAGCTTCATGGAATGGGTTTCCATGGTCGAGCAGCTGCATCCAAGCCATACATCACCAAGTGCAATGCAAAGCGTCGGATGTGGTGGTGTAAAGCACGCCGCCACTGGACTCTAGAGCAGTGGAGACGCGTTCTCTGGAGTGACGAATCGCGCTTCTCCATCTGGCAATCTGATGGACGGGTCTGGGTTTGGCGGTTGCCAGGAGAACGGTACTTGTCTGACTGCATTGTGCCAAGTGTAAAGTTTGTTGGAGGGGGGATTATGGTGTGGGGTTGTTTTTCAGGAGCTGGGCTTGGCCCCTTAGTTCCAGTGAAAGGAACTCTGAATGCTTCAGCATCCCAAGACATTTTGGACAATTCCATGCTCCCAACTTTGTGGGAACAGTTTGGAGCTGGCCCCTTCCTCTTCCAACATGACTGTGCACCAGTGCACAAAGCAAGGTCCATAAAGACATGGATGACAGAGTCTGGTGTGGATGAACTTGACTGGCCTGCACAGAGTCCTGACCTCAACCCGATAGAACACCTTTGGGATGAATTAGAGCGGAGACTGAGAGCCAGGCCTTCTCGTCCAACATCAGTGTGCAACCTCACAAATGCGCTTCTGGAAGAATGGTCAAAAATTCCCATAAACACACTCCTAAACCTTGTGGACAGCCTTCCCAGAAGAGTTGAAGCTGTTCTAGCTGCAAAGGCTGGACCGACGTCATATTGAACCCTATGGATTAGGAACGGGATGTCACTTAAGCTCATATGTGAGTCAAGGCAGGTGAGCAAATACTTTTGGCAATATAGTGTATGTTTAAATTATATAAGTAAAATACGTTTTTTTTTCAGTAAAACTTTCATGCATTAAAAGATGCAGTGAAATCTACAAATAAAAGTAAAAAAATGTTTATAAATGTCAGGAAGGCTGCACCATGTAAATATTTTCTTCTTTTTTTGTGTGTCCAGGTTTGTGGTAAATGTAAAACTGTTTTGTCAAAGGTAACGTTACATACAATTAGGGGAAACAAAAGCCCTCTGTGTCATAAAATGTTATTTTGCACATATGCTTGCTATTTTTATACTGTAAAGTTTTAGAGTAGCAGAGATGTAATTTTATAAAAAAAAACAATACACAATGCTATGACTGTTATCATCATTTTGTTGAGGTCTTTAAAAAATATGTTGTTTCTTTAAAAAATGAATGTAAAGTCATTTAATTTTTTTCATATTTATTAAATAAATATTCAGATAAACAAATAAGAAATAAATAAACTTCATTTCCACCTCTCTTCCTTAAAGTGGACGAAAAAGAATAGAATAGAATAGAAAAACCATTTATTGTCCCACAATGGGTAAATTCTGTTTTTTACAGCAGCAAAAAGATTATAGAAAAAAACCGACACAAATAAACATAAAAATAAAGTAAATAAGACTATAGAAAAAAAGACTATAGAAAACATTTAGTTAGAATAAAAAATCAATCTATATAGATAGATAATAGATCCCCCCGCCATGCTTCTGTGCTTTCGTGTGCGAGGAAGAAGAAGAAAAATCCTTGTTTGTGCATGCCCACTGAGCGATTAGTCCACGACGGCCGACTGAATTTCAAACATGTTTTATTTTGCAAAGCCTTCAAGTTGAAGTTCTTCAGCATGAACAGATAGTAAGTCCAGTTAGGGGCTATAAGATGAGCAGGGATGTTGGTGCATGGGAAGTTTTTATGCCATAGAGGTTGTCTCTGTTTTGTTGTTTTTGGCTGGCTGTTTCCTTCTCTTTACTCTGCTTCACTCCGTAAATTAGAGTGACCACATACACCTGTAATAGGTGATTATTTCATCATCACCTATTACACCCAGTTGTTATTCTGCCTCTTAATAACTGCCTCTCACAGTCAGTCTATCCCAGATTGTCTTTTAGCCTGTAATAAGTTACCCTTGGTGCTTCTTTTGCACTCCTTGCCTACGCTGTGATTCTGTGCTCATTATCAAACAGATACACATGTTTTTGTAACCATAATTGAAAGGTTCTGCCTTGGTAACTGAGTGGAGAAGTTCTAAGATACAGGTGCTGGTCATAAAATTAGAATATCATGAAAAAGTAGATTGATTTCAGTAATTCCATTTAAAAAGTGAAACTTGTATATTATATTCATACATTACATACAAACTCATATATTTCAGATGTTTATTTTGTTTAATTTTGATGATTACAAATGACAACAAATGAAAATCTCAAATTCATCATATCAGAAAATTAGAATATTGTGAAAAGGTTCAAAATTGATGGCCCCTGGTGCCACACTCTAATCAGCTAATTAACTCAAACCACCTGCAAAAGCCTTTAAATGGTCTTTCAGTCTAGTTCTATAGGCTACACAATCATGGGGAAGACTGCTGACTTGACAGTTGTCCAAAAGACGACCATCGACACCTTGCACAAGGAGGGCAAGACACAAAAGGTCATCGCTAAAGAGGCTGGCTGTTCACAGAGCTCAGTGTCCAAGCACATTAATAGAGAGGCGAAGGGAAGGAAAAGATGTGGTCGAAAAAAGTGTACAAGCAAGAGAGATAACCGCACCCTGGAGAGGATTGTGAAACAAAACCCATTCAAAAATGTGGGGGAGATTCACAAAGAGTGGACTGCAGCTGGAGTGAGTGCTTCAAGAACCACCACACACAGACGTATGAAAGACATGGGTTTCTGCTGTCGCATTCCTTGTGTCAAGCCACTCTTGAACCACAGACAGCGTCAGAAGCGTCTTGCCTGGGCTAAAGAGAAACAGGACTGGACTGCTGGTGAGTGGTCCAAAGTCATGTTCTCTGATGAAAGTAAATTTTGCATTTCCTTTGGAAATCAAGGTCCCAGAGTCTGGAGGAAAAGAAGAGAGGCACTTCATCCACGTTGCTTGAAGTCCAGTGTAAAGTTTCCACAGTCAGTGATGGTTTGGGGTGCCATGTCATCTGCTGATGTTGGTCCATTGTGTTTTCTGAGGTCCAGGGTCAACGCAGCCACATACCAGGAAGTTTTAGAGCACTTCATGCTTCCTGCAGCTGACCAACTTTTTGGAGATGCAGATTTCATTTTCCAACAGGACTTGGCACCTGCACACAGTGCCAAAGCTACCAGTACCTGGTTGAAGGACCATGGTATCCCTGTTCTTAATTGGCCAGCAAACTCTCCTGACCTTAACCCCATAGAAAATCTATGGGGTATTGTGAAGAAGAAGATGCAATACACCAGACCCAACAATTCAGAAGAGCTAAAAGCCACTATTAGAGCAACCTGGGCTATCATAACACCTGAGCAGTGCCACAGACTGATCGACTCCATGCCACGCCGCATTGCTGCAGTAATACAGGCCAAAGGAGGCCCAACTAAATACTGAGTGCTGTACATGCTCATACTTTTCATGTTCATACTTTTCAGTTGGCCAACATTTCTATAAATCCTTTGTTTTTATTGGTCTTCAGTAATATTCTAATTTTCTGATATGATGAATTTGGGATTTTCATTTGTTGTCATTTGTAATCATCAAAATTAAACAAAATAAACATCTGAAATATATGAGTTTGTATGTAATGTATGAATATAATATACAAGTTTCACTTTTTAAATGGAATTACTGAAATCAATCTACTTTTTCATGATATTCTAATTTTATGACCAGCACCTGTATATGATTAAAAGTTGCCCTTGACATAAATTTCTGAATAAAACTGATTGTACAGTTAATAACATCCCAGCCCCATCATTGTTTATGGTGGCTCCACATCTTAACAGTCTGTTGTGCTAAAATGGCTGTATCCCTAAAATGCCACAACAGAGATTTCCACTCTCCTTTTGTATTCATGTGTTTTCCAAGCAGCATGCACTGACATCATAAAAAACGTTTGTTGTTGCCTCAAAACATACCACTTACTTATCCATGTTTGGCTTCTGTATGAGAGAAGGCTTTTTTGTTCTGAGGTACATGTACGTACACAAAAGTAAGATATTTTCAATCTTTTAAAGGTAGTAGGAACAACCATTCAAATAAAACAGATTCCTGAAAAACTCAGATTTGAGCCTTAGAATAGAATAAATAGAATAGAATAAAAAGATTTCCCCCCTAAAAACACATGTTACACCAACAAGCAAGATCTCTCTCTTTCTCCCAATATGCATGCGTATATGTATATTTACATTTATTCTTTTTAATGGCTCTTTTCAATGGAACTTTTATTATTCTGAAGATAATTATTCGGAGAGAAGGTGGATTACCTCGTGTTTTAGGCTGTGGTGCTCAGACTGTCTTTGTTTAAGCATTATTCTTATTTCTGTGATATCTCTGACTAACTCTTACTCTACAGAAGCATGTTTAAACACATTTTTATTGTTGCCCTTTTCTGCTGGTAGATCTTCGTGTTCAGTTTTTTAGTTCTGTTAGCAAGGAATTGCTAGCAGATAGCCTAGCACTGGCTAAGTGTTATGCTTACTTCTTTTTCTTCCTTCCTTCCCTCTCTGTCTCCCCTGATAAAGGTTTTGCCCAACATCATATTCATTCTCTTTGCCAGTG